GCCCAATCTTGTTCTAGGTGGCTATGGTGGTTCTAGCAGCAGCAGCAGCTATGGCAGTGGCAGAAGGTTTTAATAACTGCCAGGTAAGTAAACACCTTTTTTTGTGTGTGCTTTTTTTTTTAAGTTTTTATAATCGCTGCTAAACCCTAATGTAGCTAAGCAGTGTGGCATAGTTAACATTATAATATTGCAGTAAAATTGTGGGTATTAAGTTCAGATAATATTGATAATTCAGATGAGCAAAATTTGTGGGAAACAACTTAATATTGGATTGTAGCCTTGAGTCTTAATATGTTTAGATTAACAACTTTATTCCATATTGTTCAACAGGAAACAAAGCTTAGCAGGAGAGGAGAGCCAGAGAAGTGACAGGGAAGCTACAGGTTACAACAGATTTGTGAACTCAGCCAAGCACAGTGGTGGCAGGGCCTAGCTGCTACAAAGAAGACATGTTTTAGACAATACTCATGTGTATGGGCAAAAAAACTCGAGGACTGTATTTGTGACTAATTGTATAACAGGTTATTTTAGTTTCTGTTCTGTGGAAAGTGTAAAGCATTCCAACAAAGGGTTTTAATGTAGTTTTTTCTTTTTTTTTCTTTTGCACCCATGCTGTTGATTGCTAAATGTAATAGTCTGATCATGACGCTGAATAAATGTGTCTTTTTTTTAAATGTGCTGTGTAAAGTTAGTCTACTCTGAAGCCATCTTGGTAAACTTCCCCAAAAAGTGTAAAGTCAGAATTCATCAGGGTGATGCCAGGTTCCATTTGAGATTTATTTACAAAATGCTCGGGTGGAGAAGCTGTTCTCAGATACATGAGTTACTGTTGTGACCTTCTGAAGTTCACCATTAAAAGCCACCCAAGCAAAGTCATGGGGTTATTTGGTTATAAGAATGATTGTTGGCACATCCTTTGCAATATATCTAAATTGAATAATGGTACCAGATAAAATTACAGATGGGAATGAAGCTGTGTATCATCCATTATCATGTGTAATCAATAAACGATTTAATTCTCTTGAATGGAATGACAACTGTATGGATTTGGGACTGGCAGAGATTTGGACTTTTCCCTACCCTCCACCCCTGATAATGTTGAATCCTACCACAATGCAAGTTCAAAACTCTGCCAGAGAATAGAAGCCAGCTGCTGGCTAATGCTTCCACTCCATTAAGTCCACAAAGATTTAGAAGTGTTTTAAGAGACATTTCTTAAAAAATACCGGTACCAGTAAGACTTGAATTCAATATAAACAGGTTTTTATTAAAGGAAAACTGCAGTTCTGCTGGGTCATGGGTCGGTGTGTGGGTGGGTCGGTCTGTGGAAATGTATGTTGATTACACTGGTTGGGGGGATTAAAACCATGAAGTGGGAGGAACAAATGTTTCTGTATAATTTCATATTAACTGCAGTTTTCCTTTAAACATGACACAAGACCACACAATCATCTGAAAGTGTTAATTGTATATATAGATAATGATTTCTAAACCTTTCATAGTTCATGGATACCCAATAATTGTTATTTGTAAATAGGTTCTTTGAAGCCTACCCTCTTTAATTTCAGTGCCATTGTATCTAGTAGTATAGATCATTGTTTACTAGTAGGACTGTATATGCCATCCCAGGGGTGTGTTGGAACATTGGGGAGGAGGGTGGGAGGGAGGTGGGTGGAAGGTGGTGGGGGGTGGGTGAGCGTGGACGGTAGTTCATGATACTGGCTGAGTTTGCAATAGCAGGTGGAACCTTTAACTGTTGAGGGAGTTTGCAGATACATCAGGATTCGTGACAATGCCTTTAAAGATCCAGGAGAGATGTTCAGCTACTAGGAACTGCTAGCAAGCATAGCGCGAATGGCTCCGAGCTCAGACTCTACAGCTGAGAGTAGACACTTGTGGTATGTGGAGCACAGATAAGCCAGGGGCAGGCCACGGCACCCTCCATGAAAGCTAGGAGGAAGTGAAGTTTGAGTGACCATCGCCAGAAAGGAGGCAGACGAGAGTAAGGCACACCTGACTCTTAGGACTAGCAGTCAGAACCAGGAGGAAAGGTTTTATTGCTATGCTGGTAGGTAAGAACAGATTTTACTTACATCCATAAAGTTAACCTAAAATCCAGTATTCTGTTAAATTTTCCTTAATATATTGAGCCAAAACTAGTCCAGTTAAGCTGAACTTGGTTTTTCTGGAGAAATTGACACCCTATTGGTGGCTCCTAATTGAAGAAAGTAATTAATTCTGTGATAATCTATTTTTGCCCTTTAATTTTATTTGCTGTCCTTTTACCCATTTCCTTGAAATAATGGCTCAAATTAATATATTGGAATCTTCCCAAAATGGGGGGAGGGCTGGGTGGGTGGACCATTAGTGGGTGGGGGTGGTTTAGCTTGATGGGACTCTGTCTTCGAAAAGAGCCAGTTCTAAAGGCTGTTTACTTTTCTAGGGAAGAATCTGCTACACGCTTATCAGCTCTTATTAAAAAAATAATTATAATTAAACCCAGAAACTCCTGTCCATGGCTAGAAAGGTAAGTTTCTATAAAATAATGGCCAGCCAAGAGTTCTCCATATTTCCAAAGTCAAAGGGAGAATTACCAACACCCAAGCACAAGGTCCAATTGTCCATAACCAAAGCAGCCAGATTCCCAGTGGTGGCAGTTAGCTGATGACAGAGCCCTGTCCTAATGCGTTAACGACTTCACCCCTCTCTTTCCTTTGCAGGAACATCCTTGTGAGGACAACCTTTGAGCCACTCCATTTCTCACTGCTATGCAGTTGATACTAGCTGTTTTGCAGCTCTAATTATTCATTCCATTTTGTGAATGAGCTTTATGAATAATAAATCATTTTATAAATACTTGGTCTGCTTCATGTTATTTTCCCATTTTAAATTAGGGATTCAAAAATGTAGGATATCAGTGATAAACTGGTCTTGGTAAGACATTGAGGCAGAGAAAGATCTTCCATATTCTGGTTTGCTCTCCAGATTACAACAGCCAGAGCTGTAAAAATCCAAAGCCTGGAGCCTCTTGGATCCCCCATGCAGGTGCAGGGGCCCAAGGACTTGGCCATCTTCCACTGCTTTCCCAGACCATAGCAGAGAACTGGATTAGAAGTGGAGCCACTGGGACTTGGACCACAACGATGTGGGATGCCAGCACCACAGACTGGGGCTTTAACTTGCTGTGTGGTGGCACCAGCCACAGGCAGTTGCCTTGACTCCATGTCTCAGATCAACTGACTGCCTTTCCCTTCTGGGGGCAGAACAAGCTGCCCAACATGGCAGCTTTTAAATGGGGGTTGGTTCCTGACTGAGACGGTGTGCTGCATTGACACTGCCGCATTCAGGATCATGGTTTAGAGCCAGTGGGCACTCGGACAGCAAGCCAGTGTCAGGCTGCTCCAACAGCCATGTCTCCACTCCTGGCTTGGGAAGCCAGCCGCCAGTGAGCTGTGTTGAGTCTTGGGAGCTAGGATTTGTGAAGTTCACGTGGTAGATCGCGCTGACAAGCTGATGAGACAAGCATTCAGAAGCAGTAATTGTGCTCCAGCAAATGCTTTCTATCTTTCTGCATTCCAGAAAGATTGGCCCAGCCTGTTCAGCAGAGGAAGAGTGAGGTGTGGGTTAGGGGAACTCTGCATCCCAACATCTGGGCTGGAACACCACAGGATAGCCTTTTGAAGAGCTCTACTTGTTTGACAAGTTGGCCAGGAGAGGTTTTGCATTTATTTATATTAAATGGCTTTAGGTTTCATGTGCTGTGCTTTGTTTTATACAAATGAGGGAATTCAAGGTAAGACCTCTGGTCCAAGTTGATGTTCCCAGCTTGGCTATAGGTCGACGTGGCAGCTCCAGAATGGTCTTGCCTGGTAACAATCTGAGAGGAGGCTGCACCTTCAGGTCCTAGGGCTTGAAGTGATGAGGTCAGGTAAATAGTTGAATTTGCCTGTGGGTTGTGTTCGGGACATTGGATTTTTTTCATTCTACCCAAAGATGAATTTTAAAACTTGAGCAGTTAGCTCTGCATTTTACAACTTAACATGTGAACGTTTTCAGTTCTCTGAGACAAAGTTGACAAGTGGGCCCTGTACTAACAGGAAACTCGGGTTGCTTTCATTCCATAAAGCTTGGCTACACGGCATGTTTCTCAGTGGGCTTGAGCACCCACCGCCTGTGCCCTGTCCCTGCTGTGGGCTCTTGGAGCTGCCCATCTATACTTGCATCAGACCTGGGATGAGGATTCCCTGTGGGATGATAGGAAAACCGGGTTGAAGGGTAACAGTAAGGTGTTTCAGGTGTGGAGCCGTGGATGTGCCGAAGTGGGAAATCGGGATCCCCTTGAGTTCAAGGAGATGTGTAGAGGGAGGGCTGGTTGGATTTTAGGTGATGCGCCTAAGGAGCCAAACTCCAGGTCCCTGTATCTGTTTCAAGGGTGCAGGGAGAGCACCTAACAACGCACATCTGAGGATGTAGAAGTGGAGGGCCCCAAGGCAGCGACTGGTGCTGGGCTGTGATAGAACCAGGAAGAGGAAGTTCTACAGGACGTACGTGTTTGATTCCACTGTGGAGCCCCGTGGTGTGAAACCTCTAAAGCTGTGGTGTCTGGTCAGATTCCCGAGTGGAGAACCGCTCGCCCAGCCTCCTGAGAGCCCTGGCACTTCAGCACCCAGGCTGAGAGGTGAAGTGGGGGCAGGACAGAATGAAAGGCTGTGTGTGTGTGTGTGTGTGTGTGTTCCAAAGAGATCTCAGGGCATCACCAGTTTGTGGGGCTCCCAGGAAATGGGGCGGGGAGCTCCTCAGACGATCCACGCCCCTGACTAAAGGAGTTTAGACGGCTGGATCTCCACCCTCTTGAAGCCCACGTTTTCTTGACTTCTCAGGCGAGCTCTGGAGGGAAAAGAGAATGAACCTGGCAGCATCCGCCCAGCCCTGGACCCCAACAAGTAGTGCTCTGAGCGCCCAGCTTCACCATCATCGCAAAGGTAGACGCAGTAGAAGGCTGTTTGTGCAGAACGCTTTATAGACCAAAGCTGGGACAGGGCTGGAGGTGAGAGGTCAGGGAAAAAAGGTTCTGGCCCAACCCCCACACGAGCTGCCCCAAGGCAAGCCTCAGTGAACAGCAGGGTTCCCACATTGGTCTAAATAAGTCTGCTTTATCTGGGTCTGGGGTCGGGGAGTCCCTTTATCAGAAGGGAGGGAACTCCCCATCACCAAGCCCACTCTCCACCCTGAGCCAGTTCAGTCTGTGGCCTCCGCCTTGGTCGCTCGGGGCACCAGGAAGATGGCACCATCGGCAGCCTGCTGCAGCACGTACTCTTCTGGGGAGTAGCTGTTGCCTGACTCATCCCGTAGGTGCTGGAAGATGTCCCGGTACAGCTCGGTGAGCTGTTGGCGCATGACTTCCAGGGTCCGGTCAGCCTCCCCTCGGGCCCTGAGAAGCCGCTCTCTCTCGCTGCCCAGCTGCTCCAGCTCCCTCTCCAGCTGCACGATGGTCTCCAGCTTTCTCTTGCGACAGTTCTGGGCGGCCACCTTGTTCTTGCCCCGCCGGCGGATGTCCCGGACCAAGGCCAGCTGGCTGTCCGTCAGCGGGTAGCGCGCCAGCAGCTCGTTAAAGTCGTCTACCGGTAGGTTGACGATCTTGTCCGTAGGGAACGGGATCTTCATGGCCAGGGCCCGGCGCTCATCCCGACTCCCGGCCTCCCCGCGTGCGCTCGGCTTGGCCCGCACAGGGCCTGACGAGGGCTCTAGGGCCAAGGGGGCCTCGGCGGGTGGCAAGGTGTAGCTGGGGTGGACCAAGGCGCTGGGCACGAGTGAGTAGGGGTACTCCACTGGGTACATCTCCAAGTACTCGCCGCGCCGCCGGCCGGCCTCTGTCCCCTCCAGCTCGAGAGACTCGGCGTCGCTGTAGTTGAGGGATAATCCCGAGTCGGATTCTGGGTCTTCTTGGGGCTTGGGCGGCCCTGCAGGCAACCCAATGTCCAGGAGGGCTAAGGGGTCTGGGAGAGGCTCGTTGAGCAGGCCTGAGAGGGTCAGTGGCTTGGAGACTGGACCGGCCATGTTGTTGTAGGGGTAGGGGGCGTCTGGGACGTGGGATGTGGGTGCTGGGAGCTCATAAGGTGGTGGGGGCAGGGGGAAGCCAGCATCCGGGGGGACGGAGCAGGGGCAGTAAGCTGGTGGGGGCAGGGGTCCAGAGAAAGGGGCTGGGGCTTGGGGCTCAAACGATGGCTCACTTGGAGCGTTTAGGCCCTGCAAGGAAAGACATAAAGAGGTTGGGAGGGAGGCTGAGGAAGTGAAAACTCAGGACAAAGCTGGGCCCCTCGGAAAAGGCCAGTAGCAAGAGAACAGAGAGAAATGCCGAAAACCGACGAGGCTTCCTGCAGAGCTGTGTTAGCAATGCGGGGAGAGCAAGAAGGACAGCGAGGTCAGATTCAGAACAGTCTACCTAATGCTGGAACAGCTCCCGGGGTTCGAATGGCCCAGGAGCCTTTCTTTCCTTCAGGGAGAAGGCAAGGCGTTGGTAGCCAAGATGACCCTTTCCTGCTGCAGTTATCTGGGGTCAAAGGGTCAAGTCCAGGCCCCAGCCATGCCCTGGGTGCCCAGCAGGGGGAGCTGCTACCTGGAAGGAGGGCCCAGGGCAGATCCTAAGGGCGTCCGTCAGGCCCCGAGGCAGGGGAGGGAAAGAGGGCGGGCGCAGAGCTGGGGCCAGGGGCCGAGAAGCACTTTGGGGAACTGGCAGGAGCTCGGCCCTCTCCTCCTGTGTCCCTCTGTCCCTGCCCAGGTGCAGCGAGGAGGAGAGAACGTGCTGCAGACAGGGCCCCCAACCCACATAGGGGAGCCACCCTGCTCCAACCCAGCTGGGGACAAAGGCCTCATTGTTAGGCCAACAGACACCCCTTTGTCCAGGGAGCAGGGGGAGAGGACCCCAGCATGGCTGGACTCCCCTTCCCTTCCGAGGCCCCTGAACTGCTGCCCTGCTACCTGGGGGGAGGTCTCGGTTGCTAAGAGCAGGGAGGAGGAGATGGCAGGACTGGAGAAGAGGGAGGGAGGACAGAGCCAGAGGCAGCGTGGAGCCGTGAGCAGCATGGCTGCTGAGTGAGCTTTGCCCTCGCCCCTCAGACCCTCCCCTCCGCTCCCCAGCACTCCTGTCCCCGCTAATGCACACTCCCCAGGTTCCCCCAGACTCCCCAGAGTCTCCCATCCACATCTCCCACATAGTCCAGCCCTCTCTTTCCCAGCCTGGAACACTTCCAGCCTGGGCCCCGCTTGCTCCCACCTGCTGCCTCCATCCAGTGCAGGCCAGGCTCCCCGCCCCGCCCCCCCACCCCGCTCACCTGCAGTTCGGTGATGGACATGATCTCTTGCCAAGTCAGTTCCATCTCGCCCAGCTCTGGAGTGGGCAGCTGTGTCAACTTGTTCCTGCTCTGCTGGGGGGAACACGGGGGCATCCTACTGGGCCAGGGTCTGTCTGGTCCAGGTTCCCCCAAAGCCCGAACGACCCCAGCAACCTGCGCCAAAGGAGAAAGGTGTGAGAACCGCTCCTGCTGGGCTCAGCGAGTCTCTCCTTCCCCCAGTGGCCTTGAAGCAAGAGAGCCCTCGCCCATCCTGAGCTCCTCAGCCCCTTAGAGCTCAAAGCAAGTGGGGTGTGAGACCGCCCGCTCACCTACTCAGGCCGCTCAGCTCATGTGGGAGCACAGTAGGACTTTACCTGGTCTTCGGACAGGATGCCTTCTCTCTCTCTCCCTTACCTCTTCCGCCCTAGAAATGTACTCCTGGCCAGGGCAGTCTTTTTGGTTTGGGTTGGAAGTCTGGGGCAACATCAGGGGCCACCCCTGCTTTCCTCGTCCGTCTTCAGCTTCAAGATCTCAGCCTTTTCTTCCCAGGATGAGAGTGCACGCTTGGGGGATCCCCCAAGGAGTGTGTTATGGGAAGAGCCACACAGACAGCTTTCTCCAGCATGTGGCCCAGGCCTGGGTGCTGATAGCAGCCCTGCCCTCCCCTGCCTGGGCCAGATAAGAGGCTTATCAGCTGCAGGCAGCAGGGGCAGAGGAGGAGTGGACTCTGCAGACACTGGACCTTGGCCTTGTGTCCCCACAGGGTCATCTTGGCCATACCTCAACCCTTAAAGCCAGGGGTCTTTCCTCTTGCGAGGTTAGCGTAAGCACCCTAACAATGAATTACTAAGTGCTTTTCAGGGGGTTGTGCAGGGCCTCTGTGAGCATCGGTCAGGAGAGTGACTTTCACAAAGGTCCTGTAGAGTGGGTTCAGAAGCCAAGACCCACAGCAGCATGAGGCCTGGAACACGACCCTCCTGGCCTCGCCGGCACCTGCCAGCCCTGTCCTGGGTCTGCGTATCCCAAGCCTCTGCTGGCACTGACGTGGTCACTTCTCCCCGCGGACTTGCAGCCTCTTCCCTCTCCTGGGCAGTTTCCCTTTAGACCCCTCAGTGTGCACTCCCCTCCAGCGCCGCTGCTTCTGTTTTGGGCTCCAGCAGCGGCAGCGGGAGGTTGGGCAGGCCATGTCGCTTCTGGGCCTGTTTCCTCTTTGTGAAAGCAGAGTTAGACAACCTGATCTCGGAGGTCCTTCCTGCAGGGGCGGCGTGCGCTTCACTCCTGCGCAGATCTGTCTGTGCGTCAGTCCCTCTTCTCATCCCAGCTCCCCAGCTCCTGACACCCATCACTGCCCACATCTGTCCTTGTCTTCAACAAGCAGAACAAGAGGCCGCAGAGTTTTGTCCAGGGCCTCCTGATCTCAGCGCACGTGCACGCAGCACCATGCAAGGATGGGAAGCAGGCTGGGGATGAAGGAAGCCCGCAGAGTGCAGAGGGTAGCCCTGGATGACCTTAGATAGCCGGACCCCTGACCACCCGCCGCAAGGCTGGCCCGCCACAGCTGTTTCACACGGAGCCCATTCTTTGGCTGGACCACAAAGCCGGGGCCGGGGGTCGGGGGGGGGGAACGACTACAGATGACCCTTTCGAAAGAGGATCTCTCCTAGCCTGTGCCTCTCTCTGCTTGCAACTGGGAGTTGGTGGAGGTACAGGTCCTCCTTCAGCCAGCAGGCACGGTGGGTGGGGTGTTTATGTCTGTCCAGGAGGCCATTTCAACACCGGAACCCCACCCTCCCCCACCCAGGTTCTGGCGGAAATTGCCCAAAGGCAAAGTGAATGGAGAAGGGGTTTTGGGGGCAGGGACATCCACTCTTGCCTCATAGTTCCTTAAGCACCCCATCCCCCTTCTGTCTTCCCGGATCTGACACCCAGGTGCTGTATACAGAGCCTGCCCCGGGAGGCAGGGAACCGGATTCTCCATTCCTCAAGCAAATCGCTTCCAAAGGCCAAATTCTGTCTCCTCCCTTAAATAGCGAACTAGAGAACCCCACTGCCGTGAGAGGCCGTGGTGCTGTGTCTGTCTCAGAAGTCACACATGTATCGTGCACTGCATCAACCCGGGGCCATGCGAACACACAGACTCGAGAGGCTCCCCAGACCTCGGAACCGAATTCCCAGGCGCCAGAGGAGCCCAGTAGGTGATCCTTAGACTTCTAGCTTTGAACCTTGAGCCAGGCAGCCCTGTCCTGTCTCTGAGCCGAGGAATCCGCTCCCTCTCGGGAAGACCTGGGGCTCAGAAGGGAAGCGAGGGCAGCTGGGAGGCTGGGGCAGAGGGAGTTTAAGGACAACCCCAGAATCAGCTCCAACCAGCAGTTTGCAGCAGGCTCCAGGGGGAGTGGGAGGCTTCTCCCAGACGCTCAAGGGCCGGCTGGAGAGGATCTGTATATCAGATAGAGACCACCACTGGGCCCCAGGAGGCTATCCCTCAGAGGGACAGGTCAGGGAGGCAGCATAGTCAGAACTGGCTCAGCTGGAACCCCACAGGGGCCACCCTGGGAAAGACGGGTGGGCTTCCCTGTGCCCCCCTTCCTTAGCAATGAGCATCTCCCACCTTACAGTTTCGCCTGCATTTGGGGGGTCAGTCCCCTTATTCCCACTCCCACTGAGTTGGTTGGCTGCTCCTCCTCTTAGTTCCCAATACTGTGGACCAGGTAGGACTGGAGCCATCTTTAGGGGCTAAAATCCATCCTCCTCACTCTCATCCTGATGGTCCTCTCCAGAGAGATTGTTCTCACAAGCCCTAAATACTCGCAGAATTGTGCAGAGTCTTATGTTTGGGGGTACAGAGCGAGGAGGGTGGCGCGGGGAGAGGATGACTCTGGGCCTCCACCACTGTCCCAGGGCCCCTAACTTCCTTGACGAGCAGGAATGACGAGGGAGGGGGCTTGCTCAGACCACCCCACCTGTCCAGGCATCCCTAGAGGCAGTAGGGATGGGAAGGGAGCCACAAAACTTGGGATGTGGCACGGTGGGGGAGCAGCCCCCTTAGAAAGACTAGGGAGAACCCTCAAAGAAGGAGAGGCAGACCTCAGGGAAAGGGAAGAGAGCTTTGATCATGGGGGTCTCCGTCCTCTGGGGACAAAGAGGACTGAGCGGTGTGTGTGTGTGAGAGAGAGAGGGAGAACAGGGAGAGGGGACCAGCTCCTGGCATCCCGCACTCCACCCCTTGACCCCAAGCTCCAGTCTGTTGGGACATTGCGTGGAGAGTCCCAGCAGAGGATGCTCCTCTGCCCCCTGGCTCTCAGGCCACCAGGAGCTCTGGTGGGGTTCGCCCGCCTTCCTGTCCCTTCCAGGTCTAGCTGATCTCTCCTGTGCAGAGAAGGGGCAAGGGGAAGCTGGAACCCAGCACCCCCTACCCAGTCATGCCACTTCTCAGAAGTCCTCAATTGTTTAGCTTCCCCCAAACCTCCACAGCTGGCTGGACCGAGAAGAATGCAATGGGCCAGGGGGAGGACGGTATCATGTACCTGGAAGTCTGTTGCCCGCTCAGGGCAGCCCTCAGGCGACCACCGGTCCCCATCCACTGCCTCCCACCCCAAGGATCCCAGGGCACTCAGGAAGCTATGCAGGTCTTCTCCCAGGGGAGTTCTCCCAGGTGCCAATTCCTAACCTAGGGCAGTGTGGGGAGGTCTGAGGTCTCCTGGGAACCTATGGAAAGTTGCTGCTGTCTCCCTCACTCCTTGGCCTCCCCCTCCCCAGCCTGCCCCAGGATCTCACAGGAACCCCCCCCCACACACACACACACACCCGCGCCCACCCTGCCTTCCGGCACCTGTGGCAGAGTCCAAGCGTGCACGAGCGAGCAAGCTGGGTAAGGAGAGAGTTGAGGTTCCAACTGGCGTCTCTGGGCAGGCTGGGTCTGAGCTGACACCTCCTGGGCCAGGATCTCTGTACCTCTAAGCTCCCGCAAGGGCTTTGTCCCGCCCCCCGGCCATGGCCGAGCTCTGAGCCTGGAGGCTCAGGCTGTGCTGAGAGCAGTGAACCCGGAGGCAGGCGCACGGGCTCGCTCTCGGTCTGGAGCCCTGGCCTCCCGAGTTCTCAGTCCTTCCTCCAACCCTCCCCTTTCCCCGTGGCCCTCCTCTCCTTCTGCCCCTTCTGGCCAAGAGAGGAAACTTGAGCCCAGTGTGGTTTCTGCCCACAGCCCGCCCCCACCTTGCTCCCAGCCAGCGGGGGCACACAGGGCTCCAAGCCTCTCCCGGCCTCTTTGGCTGCCCAGGAGCCCGGCCAGGGCTGCGTTTCTTCTGCGCGCATGATGCGTTCCAACCTGCAGGACCTCTCCAAAGTGACCTGTAAACTCTATGCAGGTTGTGTCTGTCCTCTGCCCCCAAAGCCAGCTCTCGGGGTCCTGGAGACGGGGTCACGGCGAGGTGGAGGACTGTCGAAGGGAGGATAGCCGTCTCGCTGCAGCTGGTTGGGTGGGTGGGCGTTTAGGTCAAAGCCTTCAGTTAAGGAAAGCCTGGCTCCGGGAATGGGCAGGGGGATTTGGAGAGGAGGGGCAGGCTGCTTTGATGTACCCTGTCACCTGCAGCCTCCCCTCCCCCTCAGCCTCAGATATCCTAGCACAAAAGCCTCTTTCTTGGCCTGGCTTTTCCTCTGTGTGAGAGAGAGCAGAGGTGGGTGGGGGGCTGCCCGGCAGGGAGATTATTCACCTCTCTGAAAAGGGACCCCCGGGTGTCCTCTGTCCTCCTTTCTTCCAGCCTAGGCACCTTGGGACCCTGGACACACCAGGACACGTGTGTGTAGGATGTCAGGTCCAACTCCCAGCCCCCATGGCAGCTCTCTGTGAGGCCAACACAGACCCCTTGAGCTTGCCCAGTCACCCTGTGGCCTCCAAGCCCCAGGGCAAACAGATCTCCCACGGGAGACCGGGAGAAAGGAGTTATCCTTCCTCTTAGCTTTCGGTGACTTTCAGCTCTGAAAGTTCTTTGCCTGTCCGGCTGCGATCCTTTTGTCTGCAGCTGGCACTTTTTCTCTGTTTCTTTCTTCTCCTGGGGTTTTGAGATCATTGGAAACATTAAGACTGGGGAAGTGGACAGGTGCCACCCCAAGGCAGTGCTGACGCCCAGCGAGCAGTCTCTGATAGGATGGTGTTCAGCGTTGAGGAAGAATGCTCCTCATTGATAAAGAACAGGTGCTGTAGGTGCTCTGTGTGCCCCCAGCACCCACCATCCCAGTTCTTCCCTAAGACACCCCCCACCCCGACAGCACAGCACAACAAGTAAGGAGGCAGTGCCGCAAGCATGAGGGGCCTCCTGTGCAGCTGGCGTGGGCTGGGAATAATCCACATCCACGTGAAACCCACGGTTCACTGCGCTGAATTCCAGCAAGTGCTCGTGGACTCTCTGTAACCTGGTGTCACTGAACAATCAGCCGCAAGAGTGACTGTCACCGGGGCCGACGCTGTGTCGCAGTGGGTTAACACCCTGGCCTGAAGCTCTGGCATCCCATATGGGCGCCAGTTCGAGACCGGGCTGCTCTACTTCTGATCCAGCTCTCTGCTGTGGCCTGGGAGAGCAGTGAAAGATGGACCAGGTCCTTGGGGCCCTGCACCCACATGGGAGACTGGGAAGAAGCTCCTGGCTTCAGATTGGCACAGCTCCGGCTGTTGCGGCCAATTGGGGAGTGAACCATCGGATGGAAGACCTCTCTCTCTCTCTGCCTCTCCTCTCTCTGTGTAACTCTGACTTTCAAATAAATAAATACATCTTAAAAAAAAAAAAAGTGACTGTCACCACCTCTTGTTCCCTCAGAGGGACCTGAATATGTGCGCTGTGTCCGAATGCCAAGACTGCGGCCCAGACTCACGCCCAGGTCACCCGTAGATTCTGAACCCACTTGGAGCGTGCGTTGAGGTCATCAGCTCGCCTCCCACTCTCACAGATCTTGCACGGAGCATCATGGCTTCCTGGGCTAGGGGTGTGGGGAGCACCAGTTCAGGTCTGCAGACCCAGCGTACGCATTCGACAGGTGTCAGTGGAGCCTTGCTCCGTCTTGCATTCCAGGAAGATAAAGATGAATGAGACAGTCCGTATCCTCACTCACAGTGGGAAATCACCTGGATACAGGTCTCTATGAAGTGGTGTAGAGCAGAAGAGGAAATACATCCCCCCTGGTGGAAATCAGCGGAGGCTTCCTGGAGGAGTGAGCTGGAAATGCCCCAGACAGAGAAGTGGGAAAAGACTATTGTGAGCCAACGGGTAAAGACATGGAGACGCACAACTCAGAGTCCAGCTTTGGCTTTACCAGGGCAGGACAGGGAGTGAGAAGCAGTTAGGAGCTAAGCTTGGAAAATGTGGCTGGCACGAGATCCTAAGGGGTCCTGGAAGTCAAGCTAGGAAGATCGAACTCCATCCGATCCCGTGAGCAGCAGGAACACCTACAAGTGTTGCAAGTCCTCTACTAGTTACTTGTGGGGACAGCCAGGGTGGCATAGAGTGAGCTAAGTGAGCACACAGCCTTCTCTCAGGCTCTGGTCAGGTGGAAGTGTCCCCCACCTAACC